CACATACTAGTCATGGTCGATTATTTCACCAAATGGGTCAAAGCCATCCCTTTGACCGACCAGAGAGCCGCTACGGTAGCCAACGCCATCAGTCGCACCTGGATCAGTCGTTGGGATACTCCGATTTGCTTCCATTCCGACTGCGGGAGTAACTTTGAATCACGACTCCTCAAGGACGTGTGCGACCTCCTCGAAATCCGGAAAAGCCGCACAACCCCGTACCACTTAGAAGGGAACGGTCTAGTCGAACGTACGAACCGTACTATACATAACCTTCTGCTCGCTTTCTCTGAAGACGGACACCAACGCGACTGGGACCTTCATTTACCCCTTTGTATGCTCGCTTACCGAGGGTCCCTTCACGCCTCCACCGGCTTTACTCCACACTATCTCTGGACTGACCGTGAGATCAAGCTACCCGCCGATCTACGTTTTTCACTTCCCTCTCCGGACCCTACTACGCCTAACAGCTACGCCCGCCAGCTCCGAGAGATTATTCGCTGCGCTCACAACACTGCGCGAAGCACTTTCGGCACATCAGCCAACCGCCAGAAAGAACATTTCGACAGTCGCATATCCGGCGTACCACACCGAAACGGCGACCTCGTGATGTTTTATAACCGATATCATCCTCTCGGAACCTCCGCTAAAATCCATCACCCCTGGCGAGGACATTTTACCGTGCTCGACACCTTTTCCCCTACCACCCTACTAATCCGCGACGCCATAGACCTCACCCTCCCCTCGTTCACAGCTCACTTCGACAAACTTAAGCCGTATCGTGGACAGCTTCCCATATGTACCCCTGATACCCTACCGATCATTCAACCCGACCAGGTCCCCCCGGTCACCATAGAGATCACAATTGCCTCAGCCTTTATCAACCCAAACACTGAGGACAGTGCTATACCCTAGAAGGGGAGCTATGTAACGGCCCAAACCGAACCTCCCTTGTTTTACTCTATACTTTTAATGTCACCTGCCCTTTTTCGCTTTCCCAGGACGCTGATTGGAGGATCCCGACATCGCACGCCGCCGTATCCAGACTCCGTTAAGTCCCGTCCGCGTATTCCTTTCCGTACTCGGTTTCGTACTCCCCTTTATTATAACATTACCTTATCCTCATTCCCTTGCTTACGTCTCCCGGCTTCCTGTATTCCATAATAAACAATACGTTTCCATTATCATCTTATACTCTTCGAATGTGAGCAGCCCTTCTATCTCTAGTGCGTCTGATTGTTATGATGCGGAATCCCCCGTAGTGAAGGAGTGCGAAGATAGGAAGCCTATCGACCCGAAACCGCCGACACCGAACCCGTCACCGTGCAACCCGTATACGATACCCACCTCGGACTCTACACCTGTGTGCTCAATGATTTTAAAAGACTCAAACTATGCAGGAAATGGTCGCGCTAGCACCACGTTTCGACCATGACCCAGTGGAATACTGCTAAATGTCCTAGAAATTGTTTAAATAATCTAATGTTTTCACAATAAAATAGCTCGCCATAAATAAATAAATTTACTTGAGCTGATGTTTCAAAAGCTCACTCGCTTTCGGGGATGATGAACACGATATAATATGTGGACCCCCAATATTTGCGCATATAAAGAAATTTACTTATATTTATTACTTTCTTATAATTTATTGGGTGTGAAAACTTTGAACTTTTTCACTTACTAATGCTTTATAGTTTATCGGGTTTCTTGATATTCCTGAAAAAGGATTTGGTGGTTAGGAGGCCGTCTACTTCAACTTACCTGAGGTCCATCTTATCGTTTGGATTTATACTGGTATAGTTCGCGGTGCGAAGTGCTACGCACACCTTCAATTTACATGAACTTACTGATTTAAGTTCAGTTTTCAGTTAACTATCATGTTTACTGTTTTTATTTTAGATTAAGACTTTTTTAGTGAAGCGACTTTAGCTTACTTTAGTACACGTTTTCAGTTAGTTAATATTAGTTTTAGTTAGTTATTTTCCAATGCAGTTATTTCCCAATGCTTGCAGAATTGCACATCTTTATTATGGCGCGCTTTTTTGTTGACAAACGTTAGATTACTTAAATAATTATTCATGTTTTTTCTGCTTTTATAAACTTTATTTTTAAATTCATACTTTCCTTTTCTTTATATTGCCCAGACTACACTCTATTACACCCGGTGCTATCTTCCAGAAGGATGGGGCTTGCGCGTGTTGATCTGGAACCCAAAGTAGGATTCTAGCGGTCCGAGTGTGTATAACAGATGCCGCACAAGTCCGCAAATTTTCACAATTTCATGAAGCATATTGACAACGTTTGAACAACGGGAACCGGCACTCTGCTATGACCTGGAAATGTTTAAATTATGAGGCAGTGTCTGCAATATCCACCAACCTTTGATACTCCGGGTATCCGTGATTGCTTGCGGATGGTGGCACAAGTAACCGTTATGGGTTGATCCTTTAACTCTTGTGTGAATTGGGGCAAGATCAGAAGACTGGCGTTTGGCAGTTCAAATTTGGCGGCCTTGAAGTTCTCCACACCGGACTGAACCGTCATCTGCGTGTTGAAGACAGGGTAATCTGTGATAACTACGCAGAGGATGGCCGAACGCGCTGGTATACTGTGCATCGCTGCAGTGTCTAGGTATTCCGTCTTGGCCAGCTTTTTAGCCCGTGCAACAGTCGTCAACAGACCCTTCTTCTCATCGAAACCAAGCTGCAGCTTGTAGAAGTCAAAAGCAAGCCTGCTAACACAAAGTTTTGCTGAGCCTGTGTACTGGACAAAGAGTTTAGTTTTATCCTTCTTCGCAGTCAACTTTTTGTCGTAGAGCACTTGCTTGCAGACGACTATGGCCTGGTGCATATCCACGTCCACTTTCTTGAGTAGCACCTTGGCTCTCCCACTGCGGTCCAGAACCGGTTTATATACTCGGGTCTTGTTGGTCTTCTTCATTGCAACCAACACCGTGATGACGGACTCAAAGTGGTTCTCTATGGTCGGGCAATTGGCACATTCAACAATAACGGATTTCTGCTGACAAGCGATTTCTATATCATGACCCGGTCTCACACAAGACAATTGATAATTCTCCAGTCGGGTCTTATCTACAACCACCTCATTGCTCACTTTTGGCAGGAAAATATTTTGAATGACTATTCTGAGGCGTGGTGGGCGCAGGACATAACACACCGGCTTACGAGTTATCACGCTGTACTCCTGGTTAAACCTATTCTTCATTTTCAGTCGGCAACGGAATCCCGAGTAATTGGTCAAATGCTGAGAACGAACTTTTACGTGAATGTAAGGATGACCGGTCGCATTGGCGTTCACAATCTCCTCCAAGGAGTCAATGTGCTCAGTCTGTGGGACGTAACCCTTCGTAGGTGTGAATTTTAAGAGAGGCAGGTATTCTGTTTG